TCAGCTACCTACTGTTCTGTACCATAGCCAGCCTTCTGCCATGGTGGGGCCTGGCAGGCCTGGCACCATCATTCTCTTCAGAATCCTCTCAGAACTGAGTAAGACTGGAAATGTATTGAGCTGGGAAGTGTCTTGACAGGGCATCAGCCTCATCTTCCTGGGGTGGCTTTCCCCGTGGCTCCTTCTTTCTGTTCGTCATGGCATTGTGATATCTAGGTGGCCCCTTAAGGAAAGATATGGTGTGAAGGTGAAAAAGTGCATTTCACCAAGGCATTGTCTTCAGAAGTGACATCAAACTACAAATGTAGAAATGTCTTAATATTCCCTGGTTTGCTTTGTCTGTGTGTTATAGTCCACCTGTTGCAAAAAGCAGTAGTGTTAAAAATGGAAATGCTCTTTGGGCAGAAAAAGAGGAAAAAATGCTGATGTTTTGTTCTTTGGCTTTATTAGTAAAGATCAAGCTATGTGGTGGTAATTTGTGCGAGTCTGGTTTCTTCTTCATTGTGGTTCTCGTTCCTTCCCTCCAGCACTGTGGTGGTAGCTGTCCAGTGGATCTGACTGCTGAGCTGCTTCCCTATCTCATAGTCCTGCAGGATGAAACACATGCCAGAAAGAGGGCAGATGGCTTTTTTCGTAACCCTCCCATTTTCCTAGCACTGCAGGTGCCTTTCCTCCTGCTGCTTCCAGATGATTTTTAGTGTATGTTGCTTACTGCAAAGCTCTGTTTTCCTTTGTGGCCACACAGATCCTGTTGAGTTTGCAGCTAAAGCTAGATTTGGGATGAACTGGTTTTTAAAACACATGTATGAAATCTCTCTGTCCAGCTGAATAACAGCTGTTTCCCAGCTTTGAGGAAGTTTGAAATGTTCCTCTAGCTGGGCTTTAACAGAAGGCAACATCAAGTATGCAGCAGGCAAAGGGTAGTATTTCTGTTTCACAAAACCCCTTGTGCCACTCATGATGGCCACCAAGAGAAACTGCTGCTTTTTTTGGATGGAGAGGATCAGTTCTGGCCTGTAGACAATCTGTACAAATTCAGGTGTAGGTTTATAACAGTGTTGGGGCTTTTCTAGCACAGCAGATTGCTACCATCTAAACAGCACATGAGAGATGCATGGGAAGAAGTACAGGTGCTGTGTGTCGCCTAACAGCTAGGGCAGAGTCACCACTGTGCTGCCTGAGCCCTGCCCAGCAGGGTGTTTGATGGAGCAGCCCTTCCTAGTGAAACTGTTCACTTTTTTCCCATATGTTTTCATTAGTTTCATGTTGATTCACAATCTGGGCCAGTGTGATTTATGCACAGGGACCTGAATTTAAACCACTGCTTGCTTCTCCTTGACATCTAAAAGTGGATTGTGGTAAATCCAGCTTGTAGCTATTGGGTTAGATAGGGTTAGGCAGCAGGAGAGAAGCAGAGCAGAACAGGTAAAGTGACAACCATCCTTGTGACTTCTCTCACCGCATAAAGCTAAAATAAGAGATTGGTGCAGGAAGGCAGGGCTGCTTAATTTGTCACTGTTCCCTCTGCCTTCTCTGCTGCCACGTTCACCTTGCAGCACATGGCAGCTTGGAACAGTGGCTGCCAGTTGCACCTCTCATCTTTAATTGCCTTATTATCTAGAAGTTGCTTTGTAAAAGCTGTGTCATGCTGGATCTTGCCCTGCGTGGTGTCTCTGTAGTCATTTCCCTGCCAAATAGTACAAACTGTAAGGCAGCTCAGCTCCTGGTGACAGGGCATCAGAGGGGAAGATTCCCACAGCCACAGGACCTACAAAGGCATCTGTTCCACCTACTCAATTAGCAATGTTAGATCAGAAAAAGAAGATAGGCTGCACTATCTGAAAAAGTTTTATGGCTTCTTGGCTGATCTATGTGCCAAAAAGTGACGTTTTGGATATATGTATATGAAGATAACCTTTCTGAGGTTTTGGAGTTGGGTTTTTTAAATCAGGGAAGAAAGAAAATCCCCTTTGCTTCTTCACATGGTCTGAATACCTTTCTGGAAAATATAGTTCCAGCTGTTTGTTGTTACAGCAGTGTAAGCTGTCACAGAGGTTCCAAAGGGAAAAAAACCCAAAAAACAAAAACCACCCACAAACCATAAAATGCTGTTACTACATTATCACTTTTTAAAGTGATGAAACACAGGCCTCATCAGACTACAGGCAAGGTGAACCAAGAGTGCCTGGTGGTGCCTCTTCCCATAAAGCAGTGTAGTTGGAGATTTCAGCAGAAGGGCACTGACCCCATTTTCATTCTTCCTGCTGCCAGGTCACAGAGGCAAAGGTGTCCTTCCCTGCCTGGTCCCTGCCTCCTCAGGTACATCAGACACATTTTGGGGATGCAGAATTGAAGAAAGGACTCGAGGGGTTACATTGGTCATGTTACTGGCTCCCCAGCCGGGTTCAGTGGTTCCTCTAAAGCAGCTCCCTTCTGACGAAGCCTTGTCAAGGGGTTTAACCCCTCTGGATCAAACCTCACTGCAAGAACCAGGAGACAGGCACAAGACACAAAAGTCACCTTCCTGAGTTAGAAGGGAAGATCTCAAAGGCTGGCTGGGAGTCAGCTGCACACTGGTCCAGTGTCTCTGGGAATGGGCAGGGGAGTGCCCCACAGATCCCCGGGGCTCCCAACCATGACAACCAACCTTATTTTGCAGCCAAAACACCACCCTGTCTCAGGGAGGCACCAAAATCTCTCTTGTGTTTGAGAGAGGACGCAGTAGCTGCACCCAGAGAATCCTAGCAGATAAAGCACCAAACCCATATGGGGAAGTTCACATTAGCAAAGCTGCAGCAGCTGGCAGCTCCTAGGGCATGGCCACTGCCAAGTAAAATCCTGCTGGAATTGGCTGACTAGGGGAAAGGCATGTAAACAATTTGCTATTAACACATATGGATGCCCATGCACGTGTTGTGTTTTCAAGAAAAGCCGAAGTAAGTTTGCTATCAGAGAATTCCCTGTGTTGTATGAGGTAGCGTTACCCATCAACACTAGGAAATAAACAAGCCAGACCTCAGGAAAACTTCACCTGAAGTTGAATTTCACTGTACAAAGGCTTCTATTCAATGTCTCCAGGACGTCAGCTGTCATAGATACATTTTATAATATCAAAGGACTTAACCTATCTATTAAAATGAGGTCTGTTATCATTTCTATTGACAGAAAAAGGTTGGAATTGCTTTTAAAAAAATATGTTCTGTAAACACAACCATACTCGGTGACATACACAGCTTTCACACTTCAAGTGCAAGCTAATTTAGAAAATATATACAGTTGTGATGCACAGATGGACCACGTATTCATCTATAAAATGTACTTTTTGTTATCTGAAGTGTCCTGAAGCTAAGACTGCACACACAAAAGTACTTTGCTTTGTCCCTTATTATGATACACAGTAAGGGAAAGCCTTGGTTACAATTTCACCCAAGTCAGGTATGCAGGAATGAAATCTGCTCCAGATGGCTCCTGATTCCACCAGCAGAAACAGTGGGCCTTACAAGTTTTTCTGTTAGACACTCATATTCACAGAAAAAGGGATGTTTTGCAAATCCAGCTTGACACCTAGAAACAAGTTCTAAGAAGCCACTGGCACAGAACAATAGCACAGTAAAGCTTTGGCTCCCTGTACAACATAGGTCTTCAGATGACTCCAAACCACCACAGTGAAACCTCTGTGCCCTGACTGGCATCACACAGGAGCATTCTCCTGGTACGCAAAAGACCACTTGGGACTCCTAACCCTCAGCTCTGCTATTTTTTGCAGGTCCTTCAGCAGCAGGAGGCAATGGCAACTTCTTTTTGTCACTGTTCAGTGACATGACTAGATATGCACAAAGGAAGAAGGTCCCATTAGTACAAAGTCCGGTTTCAGAGCAACTTCAAATTTTTGCTAGACATGGATGGGTGTAAGAACCCTCAAAGACAAAGGGGCTCTGTGTTTGTTCGAAGATGTTCATTTGTGGTCACTCAGAGGATTGGCCACTCACAAAATACATGAAGAGCTAAGAGATATTGAAAGCCAAACCATCTGTGCACCAGGTCAAAGAATGCTGTTAAGAACCTGTCCCAAAAAGTTATTATTTTTCTGACCTAGAGACGAGAGCAATTTACAGATCTATCACCTAAGATGACAGCTTTACTTGGTACTCTTTGTGGCAGCAGTAGGACTATAATAGAAGATACTATTTCTCAGGGACTAAACTCCCATCAATGCCAAAGGGAGTAAACTTGTACCTATGCTCTCATCACTGCTTACCATAAATATTTTCCAATTTAGGGAAGAAAACGTAGGTATTTCAGTGTTTCTAACTGTTCCGTCAAGAGGCATAAGTAGCTCTGAGTTTGTAACACCTTCCTCTCGTGCCAACATCTAGGTCATCATCTGTTTCATACAATCTCAGCGCTGGTAAAACAAGGGGAGCCAAGATGCCAATCACACAGGCGAAGTTCACGTGATGGGCAAGAAACACTAAAGTCCCAGTCCTTAATTCTGGATGCATCATTTAAAGTAGCAACTCCCTCTTTTCTAGAGCACTTCTCAGAGCCCCTGCCATGACTCAACCAATACTGATAATTCTACTAACAGTGACTTTTATCAGAGCATCTTTCTGTTATATATCAGAACTAAACTGTAAAAGAAAATAGTAAAAGCAAAAGATAGTCACAATTTCTGGTACAATCATTGCCCTGCTGCTTCTACCTTTATCTTTGTGTGTCGTTTCCCTAAGCAGAGGGCATTTCTGCTGTGGGGTCTTAGGAGGCTGCACATCACTCTGGGGTCACAAGAACTGCTATCAGTAACTTGCCACGACGCAATTAAAACCTTGATTGAAACAAACAATAAATAAAGAGAAAGACATACAGGTTTTAAATATAGGTTTCCATTAAAAGCATTACAAAGACAACTTCTCTCATTTTGAAGAAAAAGAAAAAAATCCACTTCTACTAAAAAAAAAAAAAAAGAAAAAAAAAAGAAAATTTAAAAACCACCCTTTTGCAAGTAACTTTAATGAGGAAAGGTGCAGGGGAGGGAAAGAGAGAGGACTTGGAGAACTAGCAAGTGTTCAAAAGGGCAGGTGCCCTCCATCTTGGTCATTTTGCCATTGCACCTTCTTCTCACACAGTCAGGTCAGAGAGCCAGAGTCCTCATGTGGAGGATTTCACCACCTGCTCATATGGGGGAGGTGGTGTGTTGCAATAGGAAGGTGGGGGTGGGTAAACCGGGTTTCCTTGTGGGGAATTGGGCTGGACGTGGAAAGCCATAGACATGGGATTCATCACAGGTCCACCTGGATCTGTGTAATACGGCACTCCAGGTTGTTGTGACCCTGAAAGAAAGAAAAGGAGAGAAAAGGTATCAGCAACAGCAGAGGCATCAGGTTGTGCTCTCCCAGGGCCTGTGCTCTGCATATTCAGACAAAATTATTCAAAGTGTTCATCAGAGCAAAGACAAGGAGTCTTTCTCCCTTCCAGAAAAAAACAGGCTGGCAGGACTGCATTCACATCTTCAGATACTACCAGAAAGTTTCAGTTTTGCGTCCAACGGAAATCACTTAGTGAAGCAAAGGACACCACTGCCCCAAGCAACTACCATTTGAAAGGGAAAACAGTGAGCCCAGTTCAGTTGCTCTGGCAGAAAAGCTTTTCTGTCAGCAGAGAGTAAAGGTGTGGGATCCCAGACGGACAAAGGAGTCTCTACTGTGGCCCTGACTCAGGTGTCAAGTCTTACAAAAGGACTTCAGAGATTATTTTGTGGTGTCCTGGATTTGCTGATAAGCCAGAGTGAAGCTCAGATGGATCATTTCGCTCCTAGGCACGATACAGTTTAGAGGTGAACCTGTGTGAAGCAAAGAGCCGAGCTGTAGTCAGTCACTGCTGGCTAACAGAACGGGAAGAGATTGCTTTGCATAGATTCAGCTCAGGAAATTACGTCAGAGCCTGCAGGGACACGGAAAGGAAATACATGGCCAAATACAAAATTCCTTGGCTATGACACATAAGGAGTAACAGAGATTGCTGCCATAAGAACAAAGCTGGTGTGTAACCCTCCTCAGATATCACAGTGGGTGGTGGAAGATGACTAAATGCAACTGAAGTCAAAGACTATCTGAAGATTTAAGTTAGATTTTTTTTTTTTTTTCTTTCTCTCTGTCAGTTTAAATAAAGATGGACTGGGAAATAAGTCATGGCTGAGCAACAGCTTTTCTTCTTTTGGTGCCAGTCTGTGTTTCCTATAAGGACAGCTTCTAAGAGATGTTCCCCTTCCATTCTCCCAGTCAGGCTCCCAGAATAGCACTCCCAGCAGATGCTGCTGGAATGGGAGAAGATGCTGCTCCTGTCTCAGCAGGGAAAGAAGGAGACAGGCATTGAGCCACATTTTGAGGGCTCCCCCTCAACAGTGAATTGGCTACTGGTACCAAACCCAGAAAAGTAATTACTGGAAAATGGGAACTTGCTTTACTACTAACTTTCATTGCTTTTGCTGCTAAATATTTCTAGAATGGTAGAAAAACTAGAAATAAAAAATAAAATAAATTGTGGGCTTAGCTCAGAGCCCAAAGCTTTTAAGTAACAGTAGTAACAGTCTGGAAGCAGGTGCCATAATCAGGTCATCAAAGAGCTTGAGCTTATTTTATATTTGCCCACAATTTATGTTCCTTGAAGCACCATGAAAGAGTAAAACTGTGCTCTAAATTTAAATCTGGTGTTTACCAGGCCAGCCAAAGACATTCCGTGTTCACATAAACTCCAGGCTATTTTTCAGGCTTAAAAATATTAGTCTAGTTGGATTGGCTCCCCTGCAGCAGCAAAATACTCTCTGTTCAGTTAAGGAGAAAAACAGATGTGGAACAGGAGCCCTAAAAAACCCTTAGAATTTAAACAAAGAAGTGTCAGTTTGTATCTGCAACACCTTTTTAACCATTTAGGCCTAGGAGAGTTCTCAGCCAGAACTAGCTACCAGAGAGGAAGAAATTACAAACTTAGAAAGCAATTTTGGCAGAGGAGCCCTCACTAGGTAGGTCCTCCTTATGCACACAGTTATTACTTACCAGAGAGACAGCAATCAGACTAACAAGGGGGAAAAGTCCACTTTGGCACAGAAAGACTGCAGCACAGAACACTGAAGGCAAATCAGAAATACCTGCAAGATGGCCAGATTGTGGAAGAAAATGCTAGGCTTTCCTTCAGCTCTGCCAGTTGTTATCAATTGTATTTAAAACTCTTTCTTCCTGTGACTGTTGAATTTGGACACCTATCATTTTGTCTACACTGCAAAGGGAGAGCTTGCTATCTCTTTCCATGCATGGACACACACCTGTAAAGGAATTAGGAACCAAAACAGAACTGAAAGTTCTGTCATCCTGTGTGTTTCAAAACCACTTCTGTACACTGCAGCTGAATAATGCTGTTGGAAAGGCTGAGGACATCACTCACGGCAGGAGGTGGATGCATGTTTGAGTGCTGTGCAATCCCTTGTACAAATCGCACAGTGTCCATAAGCCACTGAAAAAAAGCTCAAAACCAACCCTTTTTTAATGCTTCGGCCAAAGTAAGAAACCAGTGAAATGTGTATGAGCAGGCTCTGACCTGATGCAGAGTTCACTGGTTGTCTGGTGTAAGACACATTAAAAGTAGGTTCTTCTACTAATGGAGGAGGATACATCCGCCTTCGGATAAAGAAACCAGCTCCACAACAGAACAAAACTCCCATCATCAAAAGGAACCTAGGCAAAAAGAAGAGGGAAGTCAAAATGAATTATTAAAGAAATATGGATATTGATCTAGTACCAATATCCAACTGTGACAGATAAAAACTCTCTAACAGTTTAAGTTAGAAAGTGTATGTTTATCCAATGCTGGGCAGCGTGTGGGATAGCTCCCAAATACACACTGTGCCTTCCAGGTGATTACAGAGCCCTTTTATCCATACAAGTACTGAATACCCAAAATACAAATACATATTCATAATTTTGGTACATCCCATTCCTCACTTCATATGCTAATCATTTCAAAAGCTACTAAGCATGCATAGTTTGTTCCTTGAAGTGGGTCGGTGGTCCCTTTCATGGGGATGGGTCCCAAAATGAGGAAGCCAATTAAGTCTTCCTTGTTCTGACCTTTCTACCTTTTCAATGCAAATATGACAAATGAACTCTTGGTAGAACTCCCATTCCTTGTCTTCAGTTGGTTTCAGAACAGAGGAGGCCTACAACTGTCTCATGTTCCTAAAAGCTATTTGTCAGTTTCTATATTCTTCATTATAAACCCAGCTAACTAAACATTGTGTTGACAAGCAATCAATTATTAGTTAACTACTAACTCTTAACTTCATCAAGGCCCACTCATTTATTTTAATTAACTAAGAGATAAGTAAGACCAAGAGATTGACTAAGAGATTATCTCTAACTAAAATCTTAGCTCCTCTAAAATCTCTAAATTCTTTAAAGCTTATGTTTCAAAAACCTGCACATTCAGGCAGCATTTAAATCCAGACTGTTCACTGAGAATACATCAGCCTACAACTTTTAACAGGATTTCTTAAACACGTTGCCGCTTGGAAGCAGGTCTGTCATTTGGGATAGCACCCATGGAGCACTTATGGATGTATTATGGACATTTTCAGTGATTAGTACTATTGTCAGTGTTCTCTGGCATGTAACCCAAAAGTAAAAAACACGAACTTTTCAAAAGTTCAGGTTCACATGTGACCTTGGCCGCTGGGATGCTAAACTGAAATTCCAGGTCCATACAGTTTCAAACTGCTCATCTTGGATGCAGGCCCCAGGCTAACAGGCTAGGCTACTCAGGATGTTTGTGGAGTACAGAGAAGAACACTATTCTGCAATTGCCATTAAAAGAAGAATTTTAGATATTCTTAAATTAACTCAACATTTTAATTTCATCTACCATGGGAAATATAGTAGCCGGCACTTAAGCTCAATCCAGAAGACTGAAGCATTCAGTACTGATGGCGACAAACTTCACTTTGTGCTTCCTACATGGGATATTACATTCTCCCTGAGAAAAGACATAATTTAGCTACCATTCTCCTCCTCTCTGCATCTTTTCCAACCTAGCTAAACTGTCCTCATTATTTCCTTGCCCTGGTGTGATGGAAACAGGAGCATGCAGCAAGGGCACATCAGATTTTGATCTTCAGACAGCGGCTTTCACTGTGTTTCCTTGATCAGTTACCAGACACTCCAGTGACTCATGCTCTTGTAAAAATGAATGGTTCCTCTGCCTGTAATTGCCATCTTGTTTCATGGCTTTTTACTGGAAGACAATGACAACTGTTCTTTTTTAGAAAGCACAGAAGTTGGCCAGAGGCAAGCCTACACACCATGCTTATCTCCACTGGAAAATTCCCAGGTGGCTCAGAGGAAGAGTGTGGCACAGCATGGCAGCAAGAGTTAGTTCATGCAAAGGCTAAAACTCTGTACTTGCTTCTACATTAGAAATGAGAGCAGAAGGAGGTTCTTTTTCCCTGAGCCAATATTAATACATTCCCCTTTGGCAGTGTTCCTGCAAAGGATTTTTTTTCCTGCATAGAAAAACAGAGATATACAACATCACCCCAGGGATTGAGATAGAGAGCTCTTCACTTATATCAGTAAGGACTGTACACTGAAATCCCACAGTCAGCTTTGGGAAATCTCTGTATTATAGTATACATCAGGCTTCTGTTTCTCACTGTTTATTTGTTTCAGTTTTGAAGGCTTTTTAAAAAATCAATTTTCAAATTCCACATTAAAATGCCTGAAAACAGGTTTTCTAGGGAGTCTTTGCTTTCTCTCAACCGTAATGAGAAGGTTTTATTCAGGTGCTTTCTTAAATTCCACTCCAAAAGGAATTTACCTTATTTTTTCATTATGCATATAACAGTGATTAGTTTAAGCTTTATCCAGATTACTGAGCTGCTGGCTTCACAAGCTCAATCCTTCTGCCTTCTTTTCCTTGCTGTCATCTCCAGTGAAATCCTCATAGTCATAAATGTACTTCTCTTCCTTTTTAATTGAAGCCTCAATTCAGCTGGCAGGAATATATTAAATCCTGCCTAAAAGCACAATCCTGCTTATACGATCCACTTTTAAAACCGAGTGCCCCAAAAAAGAGGCAGAATATTGCTGCTTGGGACAGGCATAAAGAATTCAGCAATCCAGGATAAAAGTGGAACTGCTGCCTGTACAAAGCAGCAGGATGCAGAAGCAGGAAAGGTCAGCCTGACATGATTAACCTCCTTTTTCAGTGTTTTCTTACTACACAGGAGAATGTTTTAAGAAAAAAACAAAATCCGTGCATTTCTAGGCACACACATACCTTCCTACACATTTGCACCTACTGTACTTTAAAATACCAGGGTTGGCAATATCCTGATTGAAGTCCAACCAACGAGACAAGGACAAACACAAAATTCCCAAATGCCCTGCACCTACCAAAAATACCATAGTCGCTGGATAGAGAGAGCTCTTACACAGCATCTTGAGCCACAGCAATCCTCATAGGAGCGACATCTGCAGAGAAATAAAGAGACAGAGGTGTTGAGTGGATGTCTCTCAGATTAAAATGGCATCCCCAGCCCTGACACCATTCACACCCCCGACCAAAGCATTATTTCATTAACAGACTACCCTTGGCTGGATAAAGTTAGTGAAACTATCTTCCTATATACTTAATCTCAAACCACTGTGAAAAGACCAAATATGGTGTTCAATTCTATATAAAAAAGGACAAGTTATAAAGAAAAGCAGTTCATTGTGTTTTCTTTCACAGTAAATGAATATTGCAGATCCCCAACAGATGTTTGGAGTTTTATTCACAGGAACAGACAAGAACTGGCAGAATGAAACCGCAAGATAACCCTTTCTTTGAAACCAGCACCTTCCAAGCAGAGAAACCACTGAGTGCAGAGAAAATTCCAATTGTACCATTATTTGCAAATTTTATGCCCTTTTTTCGTCTCAGAAGTTGCACTGACTGCAACTGCCAGCAACCCCCATTATTAAAGCAGCTTTTCCTCTAAAAATCCCCCACACTTCAAATTACTCTTTTGTATGCATAGAACATTTTTGAAGGTATTACATCATCAGTCATTGTGAGCACAAGGTACCACTTCACGAAAAGCAAGCACATACATTAAGGGCAACCTCTGAACAATTCCCATGGTAACTCCTATTCCCACACCAATGAAACCTGCCTAGTAGGGAAAAGGACCAAGTCAACACAGAACCTATGGTATATTACAGACTTGAATGAAAATAAGCATATAGCAATAAGATTACCATATCCACATACAGAAAGAGAAGAGGAGGTGACCACAACTGGATTGATCTTTTTAAGGATGTTCACATCTGTGTGCAGAATGCACATATTTATTTAAGCATCTGATTCTGGACAGTTTGCTCAACTGCATGACTGTGCTCCCATATTTCTATGCAAACTAAAACTGTGTCAACTGAATAATTGTACAGACAATTACACATTTACATGCTCAATTAACAAGACTTCGCTCAGAAAATACATTGTTACATAGGCTTCAGCCTCTAACTGGGGCCAGAGGAGGATGCTCTATGGATACATAATCAGCTGTTTTGCAAGCAAAAACAGTTACATGCTCTTCTGAGGATAAATAAGTAGGATTTGTTCAGGCAAGCCAGAGGATATGACATGATCATCATGGTAAGGTTCATTAAGAGACTCAGGCACCCAGTTTGAGACTCAGGCCAAGGAAGTTGCTCATGCCAAAAGAGAAGACACCCACTTTGCTGTCATTGAACATGAAAGTGACCCATCTGCAATATTTCTTCTTTAAAGCTTCCCAGGACCCTGACAACTGCTCATACTCAAAGCTACCAAACCTCATATAACTACTGACAAGACTTAGCAAGTCAGCATTCACTTCAGTCCCCTTGGGACCAAGAAATTAAGTATTCCTCCATGTTTCCACAGTGGTTCAACCCAACAGGAGCTTTCAAGACATATGCTGAAGTCAAGGACAGATTCAGGTTCCTTACAAAATGGGCTGGAAGCTGCTGCCTTCTGTTACACCAGTGCTCATGATACCCCTTTGCTCTTCAACATGCTTTGGCTGGAGCACTTAATCCATGGTGATGGGTACTTGCCTCCTTGGCTGATGCTGCACAGCAAGGATTTTGTTGGGCCAGAAAAGCAGAGAAAAAACAGAGCCCATAAATCTAGAAACCCTTCTTGAGCCCATCAGGACAAAAATAAAAAGAAGGATTTTAGGAATGTGATTAGTCAGTCCAGACACCTACATCTGACCATACAAAGGATGGAGAGTGGAGGCACCATTTCCCAAAGCCCTAAGACCTTCACTGTAATAAAACTTAAACAGAGATGTCACAGAGGCTGCACACACACCTCCCCTGTGCCCACCCTTGCCTTGCTTATTTTGCACCTCTTTTCTCCAGAGCCAGAAAAGATGGGAAATAGCTATTTTAAAATATACAATTATGGTCATTCAAACCACCAAAATTAAAGGAGCATCTGTAGAGGAATATAGGACCTCAATCTATTTTTTTAATCTTTAAGTTATCCAGGTTATGAGTCAGCACCATTTTTAAAGTCTCAAAGGCTTAGCTTTTATTCCTGAAAAAGAAGGATAAAGCACCAGCTGGAAGGCAGAAAGGCTACACTGCTGAATATTTATGAAGCTCCTGACACCACTGACTGACAAACAGGCCACCAAAGAGACATTTCAGGTGACTGAACTTTCGAATGATTGAAAATAATATGCAAAGGTTGGAGGAGTCTCTAATCATGGCTCCAATTCCTGGCAGTCAATAAGCTTTCTTACTGTAAGCTCAGCCAGGCTGACCACTGCATTTTCTGTGGATCTGTGAAAGTAAACCAGTACCACAACCCTCACAATCCTTTGAAATTTGACACTGGTAACTTTGTCACTTTTTACCCATAAAACCAAACAGGTGATTTATTCTGTGTGCCTGTGAGAATGGACACATGTACCCATGTGCAGGAACATGGAATCAAGGCTGGAATCGAGGATGATGCCAACCTGCTGTTTGTACTCCCCACCACTTGACAGCAGCACCAAAGAAGTCTGGAAGAGTGAATATTCCATTTGCTGATACTGCCATCAGGCTACAGCAAAACTCTGCTGACCTCTTGTTCTTGATTCTATCCACTGTGGAAAAACAACACAACTCCTGACAACATTCATCCCAATTACATGACAATTAACTTACTTACAAAAGCCATATTTATTAGCTGGCAAAAGTCAACAACAAAATCAGCTTATTAATGAAGTAACATGCAAGCTTAAGTAAAATCAGTCTTTGATGTACTATGCCTCACTGCATGACGGCCAATCACAACAGAATTAAGACCCCAATTCATTTTAAAAACCCCAAAATTAAACACATGCACATATATTTATTGAATTGGTATGCATTTTCTTTAAATTGAACCAATACTTTGGCTTTGCTTTACGAGGAAGGACCAGTGTGTCCAATGCCAGTTGAAGCAGAATGAGCCTAACTATCAACCAGAACTGGACTGAATCCGTCTCCAGAGGACTTTTCTAACGTCAATTTCCCTCTTTCACAGATCAGTGATGATCCCAATAACTGCATTTCCCAAGGGCAACGTTCATTTTATTGATCAAAAGTTAACGTATGACACAGGATAAGACATAATTAGTTGCTTTGCTAATCTGCAATTTCACCAATAATACAGTCTCTCTTTCAAAAACTGTGCAATGGGATTTATGATTTAGAAGGTACATCTTTTCATTCATAATTCACTGGAATAAAAGGACTGTATGTGCATGTCCAATGTCTTGAACTGCTGGCACACCAAGGAACTGCAGTGTCACAGATCACAGACCTGTCATGGGGACAAGGTTTTTCTCTGGGTTCGCACTTAAATTGTGGCACTGAACTTCCTTCCTTAATGGACAAGCAAAGCATAGTTTCATATAAAGGTATATGGAATGACCCAAATCTTACAAACCAACTCTTTACTTCCATGTGTTCCATGGATAATAGCTGCTCAGTTATATGGCCCAATAGCTCTTCTCCAATTAGACCTGCATCTACACAATTGAACAATTCCCTTCCTAGTAGAGCTGCTGCAGCAAGGAGCTGCATTCCCTACCACCACCATATCTTTGAAATGGAAGCTGTAGTATTCTTAGGTTTTTTCTCTAGATGTTTTGCATCATATGGTATGGGCCAAAACCTGATGTAACATTTAAGATGTTTGATTAGTAATGTGTTTTGGAAGAGTGAAACAAAACATAAATTGTTAATCCACATGTAGTGGCAGAAACCCTACTGTAGACACAGAGACACAGGATGAGCAGGTGAAATAAAACCACAACCCCACATCAACAACCACATACTGTAAACTGCATCATCTCTAACCTCATCTTGTTCTGAAGACAAGCCTGACAGAAATTCCAAAAAAAGGCTGCATATCAGTCATAGGTTAAATGATTGCTGCATGTATCTGTAAATTCTGTGATACAAATTGGGATTCATTGAAACACAATAAGCACTGGCAGTTTTGGAGTGAGGGGCAAGAAAACTAAAGGGAGTCAGGGAACTGTGTAGATGAAAATACAGGAATAGACCAAAGCTAAGAACACAAAGGAAATATTTTGGGGGTTGGTAGTAGCATTAGGTGAAGCTAAGGAAGTGCCAGATGTGGCCCTAATACTGGCACAGGCAAAAGACCAGAAGGAGTCTTCGTAAGAACTGTAAGAGCTGAGGCTGGGTCATCTCCAGGCAGATTCAATGCTGAACCCTCAAAGTCAGAAGGTTCAGGTCTGCTCTCATGGAACAGATGACAGCAGACAGCTGAAATGTGCATACGCGTTTACTTGTTCTAGGACAAAAGAAGTTTTAAAAATAAAATAATCTAATCTGCTTGCAACTCAGCTGCCAAGATACAATGATGCTGAACAGAGACAAAAACAAATAAGCCTTGAAACAAAAAGAAAAAGCAGGCAATCATCACAAAGTGACTAGCAAAAACAATTCTAATGAAGCTCTGAGTCATGAGTGCACTATCAATGAGGAGTGATGTCACTGAGGTACACTGCCACAAGACTTAGACCTGACAGACAAAAAATGGGGAAGATCAACTGAAGGCGTACCATGTAATTGAGAAAGAGCTCTTCTTCTACCAAGTTTACTTAAAATTTTATTAATTTCAGACATTTAATAAGTGGATTTCCATCTTTCCATAAAAAGCAGTCTTCAAAGCAAAGCTACTGACTGCCTGCACTGCTGTCTAAGGAAAGACACAGACTATTGGCTGCAGACATGGGGAAGACCACCACACAACGGAGGGGTTATCCTAAGGAATCTATTCTGCTACAAGTGCCCACAGAACATGGAAATCAAAACAGAGTCCAACTCCGCACTCACGAGTCCCACCTAAGCAACTATTTCTGAGTCCCAAAGTGGTTTAATCGCTCTCCAGAAAGATGCTGCAACATAAAGGCCACATCCTTCCACTGGCATTCACT